CCCCAAAACCCCAAAACCCCAAAACCCCATGCGACTTTTTAAAAACAATCACAGATTATTACTAGACGTAATTTTATTAAGAATTAGATAATTTTAATTCGAACTTCTTTGCCTGAATATTTTAAAAAGCAATTTACACTTATATCAGATAATTATTAAATTTTCTTAAACGAACCAAAATGTCATAATAAAACCATTAAGATAACGAAGAAGATAATTTCTCCACTACTATCATAATTAAAAGTTAGTTGAGGACGGGCAAGAAAAAACTAGATTAACAATAAAGACAAAAAGCGAAAAAATAAATAAAGGAACCTGCAATAATTCCTCATTTTTCTTAATCTGATTCTAGAGAAGAAGAAACTACTTAGAAAATTGAAACAAATGAAAGTTAAGACATTTACAATACATCTAACTTCTTCAACAATACTCTTTCGTATCTTAGATCAAGAGAAAAAGAATAGGCCCTAGATATAACACTTGACGAAAATATAGTTGTGAAAGGACATAGAAATAATATTGATAGGAGCTCCAAATAAAATTTAAACGGTAAAAATAATTTAGATGAAACCAATACGCAAACAAACATCACTATTGAAAGAGATAATCAGTTCAGAAACTATCTTGAGGACAAGACTATTTATACTTCTGACTCAAAATATAGCAATTAATAGTTTTTACAAGTAGATAACTAGAAGCAAAGAATATAAATCTAACCATTAGGAGAAAATTTTAGAGAAGGGACTGAGGAATTCTAAATATAATAAAATTAAATCAAAAGCACAAGCAAGGGAACAGTCGACTTAATAATGAGCATTTCAAAGCACAACAGTGAGTAAAAGAAGCATATCCAATAAAATCATGAAGATTTGATTAATGCTAAAAATGAATTAAGATCTTTGTAAACAATGAAAACTGGGAACAGAAGAAAAGACAGCTAGAAAAAACTCTAATAAGCTCAAGATAAAAAAGCTGCAGATCGAAGACAATAGGACAATATTTTATCTAGAATGAACAGCAATATCATGACTTCGAAATTATTTAATCCAATCAATCTTAGAGATATAGATGGTCTTGATTCCCCTCTAGAGTCTGAATCTGGCTTTTAATTCTTCAGTGATTAAGTAAGATAGAATATGGAGAAAACTGTTCAAGGAGATTTATAAGATAATATGACTGATCAGTTAGAAGAAAATAAAAATTAAAACAGCAATAGTGAAGCTAACTTGGCAATGATTCATACAGGGTTTTTCAATCGAATATTTTCTAAAATAAAAATTTTCAAATCTTAGGCTGATTCTTAAGAGAGTTAAGGGCCTCAAAGTGAACTTAATATTGATGAGCAAAGGATAGATAACTTTGAAAGAAAGGTAGATATTGTTTCTTATAAGATTATTTTAGGAAGAAAATGAGATTACTGAATAAAAAGCAAAAATTGACAATTCAAAAAGAAGGCAATCAAGAAAGAAAAAAGAGGATGAAGGATTATTCTAATCAGATATATTCACTCAAGACAATTAGTTAAAAAGAATCTATCGTAAGCATCCTAGGAAAAAATGGATAATATATCCTGATGGATCATTCAAATCTAGATGGGATGCTCTAATTACACTGTAAGATTTTAAGCATTAATTGAACTATATCTAGACTTTTACTATATACTTGTCTCTAAAGTCCTTATGCGATTGCATTTCTAGACTAGCCAACTGAAGATTGGCTTATTATTAATACGATTGTTGACTGCATATTTCTTGTAGACATAGTAGTGAATTTCTACTCAGCATATATGGACAAAGAATATGAAATGATAGATGATCGCAAAGTTATAGTCAAATCTTATTTATACTCATGGTTTATTGTTGATCTTCTGTCAATTATACCTTTCGACCAGATATTTGCCTCAGCAAGTTACAATAGATTGGCAAGAGTAGTGAGAATAGGTAAAATATACAAGATTATCAAAATGACAAGACTTGTAAGAATGCTCAAAATAGTTAAAGAAAGAAGTAAATTCGTTAAATATCTGAATGAAGTATTAAAAATTGGCATTGGATTTGAGAGATTGCTCTTCATGATCTTGATATTTTTAGTTCTCTGTCATATTACTGCTTGCTTGTGGTAAGTCTCTTATAATACTTATTGATATTTGTAGGATATTTACTGCTAGATTTGATGAAGGTTCTAAAATTAATTGGATTTTCTAAAATGAGTTTTAAGACTACGATGATGGCACACTTTATCTAACATCTTTTTACTATACAGTGACAACAATTGTAACTGTAGGCTATGGAGACATTCATGCTTACAGCTCTGGAGAGAAATTTATGTCCATTATTTTGATGATCATAGGAGTAATTGCTTTTTCCTTCGCAACTGGTTCGCTCTCTAGTATCATCTCCAACTATGATGCATCTTAAGCTTAGTTGAAGGAGAAGATGGCAACTCTAAATGATATAAAATCTAAGTACAACATAAATGCAGATTTATTCGATGACTTGAGGAAGACAATCAAATATGACCACAGCAAGAATTATCATGATGTGATTAAATTTATGGAGGAACTACCGTTTAAGCTTAAGATTGACCTAGCTTTGGAAATTCATAAAAATATATACAGAGAAATCGAGTTTTTCAAGAAACAGGATAAGAACTTCATAGTGTGGGTATGTCCACTACTCAGACCATACCTAGTAACAGAATAAGATTATATCTTTAAAGAAGGAGACGATATTAAAGAAAGTAAGATTTTATCTAAATCAATAATTTTTAGTCTATTTCCTTGAGAAAGGAGTTGCAGGCTATGTTATACCTAGATTTAATAATATAGTTTACATACAAATTGAGAAGGGAGACCATTTTGGCCATATAGATCTTGTATATGATTAAGATATTTTAAATCAGCAAACAAACATCAAGAAAAAAGCCTAAAAGAATAAAGACTTAGTCAGAAGATTTACGATACAAGCGATCATTAACTGTGAACTTCAGATTTTATCGCTAGAAAATATTGATAAAATGAAGGTTGAGTTTTCAGAAGTGTTTGATCATCTCTTCAGTGGCAGCAGGTAGAGACTTCAAAAAATATTGAAACTTAAAATTGATGCAATGCAACAATGCGAGAATAGCTTTTAAGTTAGTAATGCGAGTTCTAATTTGTAGAGTGGAATCCTTAATAGATTGAAGAATGCTCTATAGAAAGCTAATGGAATGAATAGTTAGTACATTCAAGAGTACAAGAATAAAAATATGAAGAAGATGCTTACTATATCTGATGTAAATAAGGTCGCAAATTATGCAAAAAATAGAGCTTCACTCAAGTAAATTGACGAAGAGCTAGAAAGTTTGAATGAATCGGGAATTAGTGAATCAGGAGATCCTAATTCATTAAAATCAAAGGAAATAGCGGATGATAGTTGCTATGATTCGCAAGAAAGCTCTGAAGAGCTAGATGATGTTGCAATGTACGATAAAATATCAAAGGCAAATAAGACAAAACAGCAAGCTTTCAGACTATAAGGAAGAAGTGGTAGCAATATTTAGGAGGAGGCTAAAGCTGAAGAATAAGAGAAAGAAACGGATGTAAAAAATATTAGTGAGAAAGAATTCATCTTAAAGTTTAGAAGGAAATTCGGCTATATATTCAAGAAGGAGTATTAAAAGTAGATGGTTGAAGAAATTGATATGTAATCATAATAAAGCATTTAGCAACTGAACACAAGAGTAGATAGTTTAGAATCTATGATGTAAAAGCTTATTCTTACTGTCTCAGATATTGGACAGGATGTGAAATCTATCAAGGATACTTAAATCAAACTTATTACTCCAAGATGAAGGATTGAAATTTTGTGTAAATCTAAGTTATAAATGTAAAATTTATTAATATTTTAATTTCTTAATACTATTTTAATAATGCTCTCTGGGGTTTTGGGGTTTTGGGGAGATCGGAA